ATTACTACATATCCTAACGAAAAGTTTATGTTAAGCCACTCTGAGTCTCCTTTGGGAGAGATTAAGCGGAGTATAGATATAATAATAATAATAATAATAATAATAATAATAATAATAGAGGATGTCCTCTGAAGTCCTGCAGTCCAGCGCTGTGGTCAGCATGCAGTGGACCTAGAGATTCCTAGAAATGTATATTTTCCTCATCCAATGTGACGAGGTGACTCCTACTTTGGAGGAAAGGAAGAAGGCGCATTCCCTCTGGCTTGAACTGTTAAGATGGTTGATATGTTCAGGAGGCCTGCAGGTGATGCCCCCCAGGAGAATAACTTGGGTGTGTGTGTGTGTGTGTGTGATTTTCCCCCCCTCCCCTGGGACAGGTGTACTACCCGGTGAGGCACCACCTGGTGCAGCACATGGTGAGCGCCATGCAGAGGCTGGGCTTCACCCCCAGCGTCACCATCGAGCAGAGGAAGCTGGCCGTGGACCTGGCCGAAGTGGTCATCAAGTGGGAACTGCAGCGCATCAAGGACCAGCAAGTAAGTGGCAACGGCGCATAAAAACCGGTATCATCGTTTGAAGGATAAACTTTTCAATGTGGAGTTTTTTTGGGGGGGGGGGGGGTTGACTACAGCCCACCTCCAAATTATAAACATATGACTTACAAACAACTCAAAGTTAAGAACGAGGTGAGATAACAGGAAGTAAGAGACGTCTTATATTATATGTTATTAGTATCATATCATTATATTTGTTGCACCCCAGATCAGGAAACGAGACCATAAGATTAAATCCACCACACTGGACTGTGGGGAAAAACAATCCTTTTTATTGATGAAAAATGGTTACAAAAGAAAGGTAAATGCAAAGTCAAAAAGCCACAGTAGGAACACAGCCGTATCTCTGAACTTGAGCAAAATTCCAAAAGCCACAATACAAAACCCAGGAACCTGTTAGCGTATCACTAACCATACTTGAAAACTAGAAGCCTCTGGGAATGCAGGTCATGGAACACAGGAATTCTGCCAAGGTACTGCCTCAGTCTAAAACAATGCTTGATCTAGCTAGACAGCCGGGGAGAGGCCCCTTAAACTCAAGAAACTATTTCTTGAAACGCCTCCAGACTTTGAAGCCAGAGCCTCTCTCTCCCGTAATCTATTTGACCTTCGTAGAAACTGCGATTCACTCCTGTTTTTCCAAATCTGTTCTCTTCGGTGCTCATTAACACACCCAGGTGTGAGTCCGTCTGGAGAGCTATCACTGCTTGATTCCAAAACATTTTCATCAGGAAGTTCAGTTTCACTTTCCCCGCCACTGGCCTCAGAATCAACAGTTTCAAAACCATCAGGGAAAGATACATGTTCAGAGGCCTGTTCAGTTGCATCAGGAAATACAGTTAGAGAATCAGGTTCACACAGAGATTGAGGCTCAGGTTCGCACGGAGGCTGAACCCCAACAATATTATATATTACTAGTATTATTCCATTATATTATTATAATATATTATTATTATTATTGTTATTATTATTACGATATTCATGTATTTCCCAAATTACAAACATCTGACTTACATATGACTCATAGTTGAGAACACACACACGCATACATACACAGGTAGTAGTCCCCAGGTTGGTCCATGGCCTGCTATAAGGAATGCTTAAACACAGTGCAATTGTGGGAATTGAAGTCCAAAATACCTGTAGGGAGGGAAACCCAAAGTTGGCCCATGCTTGCTCTGTGTGCACGCTTCTAATGCCCCACTAATGTGTTAATGGAACGGCGATGATCTCAGCATATATAAGGCACTGAAACACATCTTTTTGTCTAAAAACCTAGTTTATTTAACACAAAACATATTTATTTTAGAACTAAACAGAACGAGAAACAAAAAACGTCTATATGGTTTGGCTTTTTATTGTAATCTAGAATATGGCACACTCTCACATTCCTCAGTGACGTGATGACGTACGATGCTCTTTAGAACACTTTTTGCACTGAGATTTACGACTCCTCCTTCACGATACAGTTAACCCTTTTCACACAGGATTTATAATCTCTGGAACCTTGTATTTTACAGCATTACATTTTTAAGCACATAAAAACTAACTTTGAAAACTACAAAGCACTTAATAAAAACATTCACATATATTTCCAACATAATGAGCACCTCAATTTTGTCAATGTAATTTAGTCATAGAAGAAGGTGAGCATTAGACTCGAGTAAATTATGGTCAACATGCTAACGATGTGAACTGAATTCCGATTCCCTCCGCAGCCGGATTCCGACGCGGATGCGGGTTCCAGCGGGGAAGGGGCGGGCTCCGGCTCCGCGGCGGTCAAGAGGGGCCTCTCTGTTGACTCCGGCCAAGAAGTGAAGCGCTTCCGCACAGCGACGGGGGGCATCAGCGCCGTAAGAACCACACGTTTCAAACTCTCTTGGTGCAGATGTTGTTGCGCCTGTTTTCTCACTCCATTTTTGTGACATCTGGCCACCCATCCAATAGTAATTGTTCTCCAATGTGCCCCCAGGTCTTTGGTCGCAGCCAGTCCTTACCGGGAGCGGACGCCCTCCTTTCGAAGCCCATTGACAAGCAACACACGGACACCGTCATCAACTTCCTCATTAGGATTGCGTGCCAGGTACGGCCCACTCCTGAAACAGCAAGGGGACGCTGGGAGTAATCTCAAAAGAGTCCACTTCTCCATTGAAGGAGATCAATACCATTGGGAATGAGTGGGGAGTGAGCAGGCACGGGCCAACTTCGCCCTCTCCTCTGGGTATTTTGGACTTCAACTCCCACAATTCCTCACAGCCTCAGGCTCCTTCCTTTTCCTTTTCCCTTTCCTTTCCACTTCCTTGGCTGAGGGAGAAAAGGAAGGGGCCTGAAGCTGTGAGGAATTGTGGGAGTTGAGGTCCAAAACATCTGGAGGGAAGGCCCCAGTTTGCCCAGGCTTGGGATTGAGGGAGAAAGGCTCTTATATGGGTCGTACAGGCTGATTATATATTTTCTAAAATGCTTCGCAACAGAAGTGTTTTAGATTTTGGGAACGAAAGAAAAAGAAGGGAAGGCAAAGAGGAATAGAGGGAGAAACAGAAAAAAAAGTCAAGAACGGAGAAAAGAGAGAGGGAAGAGGGAAGAAAGAAAAAGAAGGGAAGGAGGGAGGGAGGAAAAGAAAGAAAGAAAAAGAAAAAGTAAAGAACAGAGAAAAGAGTGAGGGAAGGGGAAAGAAAGAAAAAGAAGGGAAGGAGGGAGAGAGGAAAAGAAAGAAAGAAAAGAAAAAGTAAAGAACAGAGAAAAGAGTGAGGGAAGGGGAAAGAAAGAAAAAGAAGGGAAGGAGGGAGAGAGGAAAAGAAAGAAAGAAAAGAAAAAGTAAAGAACAGAGAAAAGAGTGAGGGAAGGGGAAAGAAAGAAAAAGAAAGGGAAAGAGGGAGCGAGGGAGAAAAGAAAAGAAAATAAGGAATGGAGAAAAGAGGGAGGGAAAGGGAAAGAAAGAAAAAGAAGGGAAGGAGGGACGGAGGAAAAGAAAGAAAGAAAAAGTGAACAGAGAAAAGAGTGAGGGAAGGGGAAAGAAAGAAAAGAAAGGGAAAGAGGGAAGGAGGGAGAAAAGAAAAGAAAATAAGGAATGGAGAAAAGAGTGAGGGAAGGGGAAAGAAAGAAAAAGAAGGGAAGGAGGGACGGAGGAAAAGAAAGAAAGAAAAGAAAAAGTAAAGAACAGAGAAAAGAGTGAGGGAAGGGGAAAGAAAGAAAAAGAAAGGGAAAGAGGGAGCGAGGGAGAAAAGAAAAGAAAATAAGGAATGGAGAAAAGAGGGAGGGAAAGGGAAAGAAAGAAAAAGAAGGAGGGACGGAGGAAAAGAAAGAAAGAAAGGAAGGAAGGAAGGAAGGAAAAGAAAATAAGGAATGGAGAAAAGATGGAGGGAAAGGGAAAGAAAGAAACATAAGGGAGGGAGTAAGGGGGGGAAAGAAAGAAAGAAAGGAAAAGAAAAGTAAGTTAGGAATGGAGAAAAGAGGAAGGGAAAGGGAAAGAAAGAAAAAGAAGGGAAGGAGGGAGGGAGGAAAAGAAAGAAAAGAAAGTAGGGAATGGAGAAAAGAGGGAGGTAAAGAAAAAGAAGGGAAGGAAAAGAGAGAGGGAGGGAAAAAAAGAAAGAAAAGAAAGTAGGGAAGAGTGAGGGAAAGAAAGAAAAAGAAGGGAAAGAAGGAGGGAGAAAAAGAAAAGAAAAAGTAAGGAACAGAGAAAAAGAGTGAGAGAAGGGGAAAGAAAGAAAAAGAAGGGAAGGGAAAGAGAAGGGAGGGAGAAAAAGAAAAGAAAGTAAGGAACGGAGAAAACGTCAACTGACCACCTTGATTAGCATATAATGGCCTGACAGTGCCTGGAGCAAACTTTTGTTGAGAGGTGATTAGATGTCCTTGTGTTATTTGAGAACACAGCAATGCTGAACCACTCTCACAACCACCATGTCAGACTACACAGAGAAGCCATTGAAATCCACAAGCATGTGGACAATTTCAACAGAAAGGAGGAAACCATGAAAATGAACAAAATCTGGCTACCAGTATTTAAAAAACTCTAAAATTACAAGAGCAAAACAACAGAGAGGAAACAATCTGGGACATCTAATCACCTCTCAACAAGAGATTGCCCCAGGCACTGCCAGGCCATCAAATGCTAATCAAGGTGATCAGTTGAAACATTCCCACCTAGCTCCAGCAGACAAGAGTCCTTTGTCCCACCCTGGTCATTATTCCACAGATATATAAACCCAATTTTCCTAGTCCCAGCAGACCTCACTACCTCTGAGGATGCTTGCCGTAGATGCAGGCAAAATGTCAGGAGAGAATGCCTCTAGAACATGGCCATATAGCCCGAAAAAACCCCACAAGAACCCACTGATGATCAGTGTTTGCTACCTGACAATTGTTGTGCTTCCTTTCCAGGTAAACGACAACTCGAATACGGCGGGCTCTCCGGGAGAGCTGCTTTCCCGGCGCTGCGTCAACCTTCTGAAGACGGCGTTGCGGCCGGACATGTGGCCCAAGTCGGAGCTCAAACTGCAGTGGTTTGATAAGCTTTTGATGACGGTGGTAAGTTGCAGAGAACTTTTTCAGCATCGAGGCGGCGATGCAGCGCAATTAAAGGCTTAATTAATTCCTTTGGGCCTCTTACGGGTTGTCACGTCACGCCGCGTGTGTGGATTCATTTTTTTGGAAATGTGATAATACTGTGTTGAAGGAATCCGTGTGTCGGCAGAGAACGCGAAATGTCACGTTAGCCTCTGTAATTGCCAGTTTAATTTGGTGCCACGACTTGGAAAACGTTCCGTCTGACGGAATTGATTTTGCGTCCCGAATAATTACTCGCGCCCTTCTCTCGACACCGGGCTTGGGCGGAAAGAGTCAGCCGACGGGAATTGGAGCTGAACGGTGGCATGGAAACATTGATGAGGTGTTGATCTGTTATGCAAGTCGGGTTCTTATTTAAGAGAGGATTCCGAGGAAATGGTCCGAGGAAGGCGTTCTCGCCATCCCTGTCGAGGCTCAAGGACTTGAGGAGGATGCTTTACGCGTTTGCTTATCCTTGCCATCTCTCACGAAGGTCAAAGCAGTGAGTTTATACCTGGCAGGGGCCAAATGCAGCCCTCCTGGTGTTTTGGAAGTTGACCCCCACAACGTGGGTATGCAGATGATACATTGTTCTCACAAAGAATGGTACCAACAGGAAGCACTTTAAAAGGCCTCAATCCCTCCCATAACATCATTTATCACGCACTTGCTTTTCCTCCCCTTATCTTTAAACCTCGCCTTATCTTTAAGCCTCTGCGTGCTCTGTCTCTGCAATTCCAAGCGCCTTGACCTAGATCAGGAATGGGCCAACTTATTTATTTATTATTTATTTATTTATTGCATTTGTTGACCGCCGTTCTCAGCCCCTTAGGGCGACTCACGCCGGTGTACAACATATAAAAACAGTTTACAAAACATATAATTAAACTAAATCATCCGCGTCGTCTCAACATAGAATCATAAGCCAATCTCATAATCCATATTCCGTTCCAGTCGTCATTGCCAATTGTTATAGCACTTAGTTAAACGCCTTTTCGAATAGCCATGTTTTTAGGCTCTTACGGAATGCCATAAGTGAGGGCGCCTGTCTGATGTCCACAGGGAGGGTGCTCCATAGCCGGGGGGCCACCACTGAGAAGGCCCTATCTCTCGTCCCCGCCAGACGTGCCTGTGAGGCAGGCGGGATCGAGAGAAGGGCCTCCCCAGATGAACTTGGGACTTCCCTCCAGGTGTTTTGGACTTCACCTCCCACAACGTGGGTATGCAGATGACCCCTTGATTGGCTGAGGTGTCCAGTTCCAAGAGGACAAAGGCCTGGGCCAACTTGGGCCCTCCCTCTAGGTGTTTCAGACTTTCCTGCATGGAAAGCTTCTCTGTGAGAACTGACTTAAAAAGGCTCCTATTCCCTCTAAAAACCCAAAAAGGGGGCGGGACCAGGGAACCTAACTATAATTGACAGGTGGCTTGCCCTATGATTGCAGCCAAAAGGAGCCACCTATCTGCAGAGTCCCTGAAACTTAGGACTGCAACAAACATTAAATGCAAAGCAAACAAAATTGGAGCTCCTGGTGCAGTTGTACCAGCACACAGACAGAGAAGTCCACCTTATCAGAGCCAATCTAATTCCATCCTGAAATTTGCAAAAGGCTCTACAAATTGAACATCTGCACATTTGAGCATTGCTCACTCCATAACTCAGCATGGATTATACATTTTTCTTATTTAAACTATAAATATTGCCATGTTTTTTCTTGAAGTTACACCCCACCCAAGTTATGCTCAGGTTTTTGGCGAATTTTGACACACCAACCGCAAAAGGTTGTCCATCACTGGCTTAGCCGCTACTCTTTGCCTTGTCTTCCTTTTTACAAATGAAGCCGCATTGCAGGGCGCTGTGGGAATTATCTGTGGCCTTCCTCCCGCCGCTTGTAGTCAGGCAAGTGTCAGAAAAACACTCTGCCGCTGGCCTGACTACAACAAGTCCTGCAAATAATAAGATTTGCACTCTGAGTAATTGAGTGCCAATCTTATTATTCTCACTCTTGTCGGAGGCTCTTGCGTCGCGTGTGCCGGGAGTCCTAGAAGACGGCCTTGCGCCCCTTTTTAGTAGGCAGAGGTCTGGTGTGCGTTGCGAAGTTGGCGCGAGGGGTGATTGACACAACATCCTTCGGACGTTGAGTTCCACCATGTGTTGATGGGCGCTTCAAGGGCATCCCCACGCTTGGGTGGCACCGCTATGAATTATTTTTACCCACTCGTCCTGATTAACTGATGAGTTGACCATTTTTTTTGCTCCCGCTGGGTTGAATTACTGTGGCTGACAGTAGTCATGTGCGCAAAGTGTGCAGCAATTTGTGCGAAAATTCTCTGCAATTTCCAGAACAGAGAACATTTCCATGTTGCAGATCAAAGCAGGTTGACAACTTGAGTTGGTTTCGGTTTTACTTGCAATCCCTGGGATTCAACTTCTCCTCCTTCTCCTTCTTATATTAATTGATACCCTGTTGTATCTTTCCTGAAGGAGACTCAAAGTGGCTTAACAAAATTTTATTTATTTATTTATTTATTTATTTATTTCGGTTCCTTCTACCCCGCCCTTCTCACCCCGAAGGGGACTCAGGGCGGCTTACAAAGGCACAATTCGATGCCCGCGTCACATAACAGTAGTAACACAAAATAACATCAATTAAACAGTTAGTTGAACAGTTAAACAACAATTCCTGCATTACAACCCTAAAACCAATAAAACAATACAATCCCAGTTACTCCTCATAGACAGTCAGCGTTCGCTATCTCATACTCCAAATTCCAATTCCACTTTGTCAGTCCTGTCAGTCCTAATCGTCTGATTGTCCTTACCTAGTTGTCAGATTGCCCGAAGGCCTGGTCCCACAACCACGTCTTTACCTTCCTCCTGAAGGAGAGGAGGGATGTTGATGCCCTAATTTCCCCCGGGAGTGAGTTCCATAGGTGAGGGGCCACCACTGAGAAGGCCCTGCTCCTCGTCCCCACCAACCTCACTTGTGACAGCAGTGGGGTTGAGAGCAGGGCCTCCCCAGATGATCTCAAACTCTGGGGTGGGACGTAGAGGGAGATGCGTTCAGACAGATAAACTGGACCGGAACCGTACAGGGTTTTGTAGGTCAAAACCAGCACCTTGAATTGTGCTCGGAATTGAACCAGCAGCCAGTGGAGCTGACACAGCAGGGGGGTGGTGTGCTCCCTGTATGACGCTCCAGTGAGTAGTCTGGCTGCTGCTCACTGGACCAGTTGAAGTTTCCGAGCAGTCTTCAAGGGCAACCCCACGTAGAGTGCGTTGCAGTAGTCTATTCGGGATGTAACCAGAGCATGGACCACTGTGGCCAGACCAGACTTCCCAAGGTACAGGCGCAACTGGTGCACAAGTTTTAGTTGTGCATAAGCTCTCCCGGCTTTCGTATGATATTGTTTCTAGCGCCCACTTTTTGCTTGATGTTCAGGCAGTGCTTCTTGTAGGTAAGAGCACGGTCCAGAGTGACTCCTCCCAGGTATTTGGGTGCGCTGCAAAGCTCCAGTGGGATTCCTTCCTTCCCAGGTAATAATCCTCAGAGCTTGGGATGCTTGTCTGTTCTTGAGGTAAAAGGCACATGTCTGTGTTTTAGATGGGTTGGGGATCAGCTGGTTTTCCCTGTCATAGGGAGTTAGAGCACCTAGAGCTTCAGAGAGCTTCCGTTCAACCATCTCAAAGCTCCCTGCTTGAGCGGTGATGGCACGATCATCAGCATAGATGAATCTCTCTGTCCCTTCTGGCAGTGGCTGGTCATTTGTGTAGATGTTGAACATGGATGGAGCACGCACACTCCCCTGAGGCAGGCCGTTCTTCTGTTTCCGCCCTCTGCTTCTCTGGCCCTGGGACTCAACAAAGAAGCTCCTGTTTTGTAGCAGGTTTCCTATGAGGCGGGTGAGGTGGTCGTCCTTTGTGATACTATACATTTTTCTCAGGAGGAGGCAATGGTGGTTTACAGTATCATAAGCTGCTGACAGGTCTATGAAGACGGTTCCTGTGATCTGCTGCCTTTCAAAGCCATCTTCTATGTGCTGAGTCTTGCGATGTGCAGCTTGCAATGTGCAGCTTCTTGCGATGTGCAGCTTCTGCCTTTCCTGAAGCCAGCTTGCTGTGGGATCAGACAGGGGTCTATATTTTCCATAATTCTATGCAAAATGAGTCTCTCCAGAACTTTGTAGAGGTGGCACAACAACAGGGAGATTGGTCTGTAACTTTTTGGGTCATGACGGTCTTAGCCTGGCTTCAAGATGGCGATGACTCTTGCTTTCCTCCAGATTTTGGGGATCTGACAGGATGCAGTGCCGTTGTTTATTTATTTATTTATTTATTTATTTATTTATTTATTACTGCGCTTGTATACCGCCGTTTCTCAGCCTACATTGGTGACTCATCAGCCTCATCCGCTCCAGCAGCCAGCGCCTTGCTTTTGGGCCAAAGTTCTTGATTGATTCCATCCGTAGATCATCCAGGCCAGCTGAGAGCTTTGCCATGTTTACGTTTATTGAGAGCCATGTCCCATTGGACAATGTGATGATGTTGTTTATTGTTTATGCTCTGGTTTTATTTTGTTGCATTGGCCCCATGTAAGCCTTTCCGAGTCCCCATTGGGGAGATGGTGGCGGGGTATAAATAAAGATGGTGATGATGGTGATGATGATGATGATCATTATTATGATCTGAATTAACTAGTGGCGGCTGGAGAAGGTTGCTCTTTCCAACTCTCAGGGCTGTTTTCCTCCTTCCAGGAGCAGCCCAACCAGGCCAACTTGGCCAATATCTGCACCGAGAGGGAGGAGAGGAGAGGAGAGGAGAGGAGGCAGGGAAGGCATGAAGGGAGAAAATGGGGAAAAGGAGAAGGAAGGGAGAGGAGGAGGAGGGAGAGAGCCAAGGTTGACTCCAGGCCGTTGCCGGCACAGGCTCTGCCACGGGGAGCTCTCCAGTGTGTGCGAGCGCACGCACACCCCACCCACTCCCCGTCCCAGTACGCATGCCCAGTGGTATCTTCTCCTTTTTTAGGATTTGTAAGTTCTTTTTTGTTGTTGTTTTTTTATTATTGATGGTCACACCTTGTATGGTGAGGAGTTTTGTTGCCAAATTTGGTGGGTATTGGCCCAGCGGTTCTTTTGTTTTTAAGCCACTCATTACGACATGAGCATTTTTGTATATGTAGATTACTAGCTTTCCATTCTTCCTTTTGTCTTTCCTTCCTTCCCCCCTCTTTCTCTTTCTTTCTCTTCTTCCTTTGCTCCTCTTTCCTTCCTTTCTTTCCTTCCCTCCTCCTTCCTCCTTCCTCTTTCCTTCTTCCTTTTTTCTTTTCTTCCCTTTCTCTTTCTTCCTTCTCTACCTGTTCCTTTCTTCCTTCCTTTGGTTTTTGTTTCCATTCTTCCTTTTGTCCTTCCTTCCCCCTCTTTCTTTCTTTCTCTTCTTCCAGGATTGAGTCAGGGCGGGGGGGGGGCGGGGCGGCGAAGGGAGGGGGCGTGGGTTGCGCGGGCGTGGGCGGAAGAGGGGGAGGAGGGAAGGATTGAGTCAGGGTGGGAAAGGGCAGGGCGGCGAAGGGAGGGGGCGTGGCTTCCATGGAGGGGGCGTGGTCGGCGGCAGAGGAGGAGGTGGAGGAGGAAAAGAATTGAGTCAGGGCGGGTAGGGGCGGGGCGGCGAAGGGAGGGGGCGTGGGTTGCGCGGGGGGCGTGGGCGGAAGAGGGGGAGGAGGGAAGGATTGAGTCAGGGTGGGAAAGGGCAGGGCGGCGAAGGGAGGGGGCGTGGCTTCCATGGAGGGGGCGTGGTCGGCGGCAGAGGAGGAGGTGGAGGAGGAAAAGAATTGAGTCAGGGCGGGTAGGGGCGGGGTGGCGAAGGGAGGGGGCGTGGGTTGCGCGGGGGGCGTGGGCGGAAGAGGGGGAGGAGGGAAGGATTGAGTCAGGGTGGGAAAGGGCAGGGCGGCGAAGGGAGGGGGCGTGGCTTCCATGGAGGGGGCGTGGTCGGCGGCAGAGGAGGAGGTGGAGGAGGAAAAGAATTGAGTCAGGGCGGGTAGGGGCGGGGCGGCGAAGGGAGGGGGCGTGGGTTGCGCGGGGGGCGTGGGCGGAAGAGGGGGAGGAGGGAAGGATTGAGTCAGGGTGGGAAAGGGCAGGGCGGCGAAGGGAGGGGGCGTGGCTTCCATGGAGGGGGCGTGGTCGGCGGCAGAGGAGGAGGTGGAGGAGGAAAAGAATTGAGTCAGGGCGGGTAGGGGCGGGGTGGCGAAGGGAGGGGGCGTGGGTTGCGCGGGAGGCGTGGGCGGAAGAGGGGGAGGAGGGAAGGATTGAGTCAGGGTGGGAAAGGGCAGGGCGGCGAAGGGAGGGGGCGTGGCTTCCATGGAGGGGGCGTGGTCGGCGGCAGAGGAGGAGGTGGAGGAGGAAAAGAATTGAGTCAGGGCGGGTAGGGGCGGGGTGGCGAAGGGAGGGGGCGTGGTTTGCGGTGAGGGAGCGTTGACCGGCAATGTGCGCGCGGTGGACTCGCGCCAGGGCGCTTCTGCACATGCTCCCTTTGTCTTCGAAATTGTGGGTTTGGTGAAATATTGTTTGCTTTTTTGATGTGATTTGTGCATACCTTGTGGGTTGAGGTATGTGCATGGGAATTTTGGTAAATTTTCATCGGGGGGTTTTTGAGTTTTGCTGTCCCGTTGGACGCCCTTTTCATTTTTATATATATAGATTATTATTATCTGAACTAACTAGTGGAGGCTGGAGAAGGTTGCTCTTTCCCGCACTCAAGGCTGTTTTCCTCCTCCCAGGAGCAGCCCAACCAGGCCAACTTTGCCAATATCTGCACCGGCCTGGAAGTCCTCAGCTTCCTCCTGACGGTCTTGCAGTCTCCAGCCATCCTGAGCAGCTTCAAGCCTTTGCAGCGCGGCATCGCCTCTTGCATGACGTGCGGGAACACCAAGGTTTTGCGGGCCGTCCACACGCTGCTTTCGCGCCTGATGAGCAACTTCCCGACGGAACCAAGTACGTATGGCAGGCGGGACCCTCGCTTTCCCAGAGAAGAGGGCGGAAATATTGGGATCTGGTCCTTGGTGTTAGTTTGCAGAAATAATTCTTTTTTGAACTTGCACTTTGCACCCCAATTAAAAGGAAAAGTTGAAACGAGTCGTCTTGAGGAATACATCATTATCTGGCGGCATGAAAACTTAATAACCTGTGTCAGTTATTACTTTGGCTTGAGAGGGACGTGTTGTAAATGTAATGTCTTTGGCAATTACCATTTTCCTGCTTTGAAAGCGCAGTTGTTGAACACGGCTCTTTTAATAAGACAAGGAAGGGAAATTGGGTGGAAAAGCACGCTCTTAGGGAAGAAGCGGGGAGAAGGGGCAAGAAGGCCGAGGCCAGAGCCATAGTCCACCTTACTCCAGAGTAAGCCCATTCTTCTTTATGAGGCTTGCTTCCCTGGAGGTTGTTTTCATGTCAGGAGCAACTTGAGAAACTGCAAGTTGCATGGGGAGCTGAAGCTGACAGAGGGAGCTCATCCAAGCTCTACCCGGATTCGAAAATCAAACTGCAAATCGTTTCTGGTGTGAAATACTTGGCCGTCTGCAAGGCCATTGCCCAAGGGATGTTGCCCGGATGTTTTGATGTTTGACCATCCTTGTGGGAGGCTTCTCTCCTGTTCCCTTTGCATGGGGAGCTGAAGCTGACAGAGAGAGCTCATCCCGAGCTCTACCCGGATTCCAACCTCAAGCTGCAAATCGTTTCTGGTTTGAGAGAATTGGCCATCTGCAAGGATGTTGCCCAGGGGAAATTGTCCAGATTTTTTTATGTTTGACCATCCTTGTAGGAAGCTTCTCTCTTGTCCCCTTTGCATGGGGAGCTGAAGCTGTCAGAGGGAGCTCATCCAAGCTCTACCCAGATTCAAACCTCAAACTGCAAATAGTTTCTGGTTTGAGAGAATTGGCCGTCTGCAAGGACGTTGCCCAAGGGGTGTTGTCCGGATGTTTTGATTTTTTACCACTCTTGTGGGAGGTTTCTCTCCTGTCCCCTTTGCATGGGGAGCTGAAGCTGACAGAAGGAGCTCATCCGAGCTCTGCCCGGATTCGAACCTCAAACAGCAAATCGTTTCTGGTTTGGGAGAATAGGCTGTCTGCAAGGACGTTGCCCAAGGGATGTTGCCCAGGTGTTTTATGTCTGACCATCCTTGTGGGAGGCTTCTCTCCTATCCCCTCTGCATGGGGAGCTGAAGCTGACAGAGGGAGCTCATCCTGAGCTCTATCCGGATTCGAACCTCAAACTGCAAATCGTTTCTGGTTTGAGAGAATTGGCCGTCTGCAAGGACGTTGCCCAAGGGGTGTTATCTGGATGTTTTGATGTTTGACCATCCTTGTGGGAGGCTTCTCTCTTTTCCCCTTTGCATGGGGAGCTGGAGCTGGCAGAGGGAGCTCATCCACGCTCTCCTCGGACTTGAACCGCTGACCTGTCGGTCTTCAGTCCTGCCAGCACAAGAGTTAAACCCACCGGGGGCTCCATGTATAAGATTATAACTCAACTTAGAATGCAGAATTCCCCATTGCTTGAGATTTTGTTATGTCTCATCCCCAAACGGGATAGTGATATGGAGCAAGTAAAAAATGTTGAGCCAATTTGGCTGCTAAACTGTGATTACAAATTATTTGCAGACATTTTGGCAAACAGATTTAACTCAGTCCTACACCAGGCAGGCTTTCTTCCCAGAAGACAGTTAAACCAGAATGTACGAATGGATTTAAACATATTAGAAGAGCAAGAGCCTAGTAGAGACGTTGTGCTGTTATTTTTAGACGCAGAGAAAGCTTTTGACAGTGTTCACTGGGAATTCATAGAAAAAGTACTGACTGGCTATGGCGGCGGTTCCCAACCTGTGGGCTGTAGCCCAGTAGTGGACAGAGAGACCAAAAATCCGGTCCGTGAAACTCCTTCCTCTTAATTTAATTTAATTTAATTTAATTTAATTTAATTTAATTGTGTTCCTTTCCGCAGAGCTGACCAGCCCCGCCCCTTTTGGTACTAATGTTGGAGAGTGGTCCCTGGTCAAGTTGGTCTTGCTCAAAAAAAAGGATGGGAACCACTGGACTATGGAATGGGTCAGCGATTTAAAAGAGCGGTTGGTGCTGTCTGCTCAAAACAGAAAGCTAAATTAAGGCTAAATGGCCAAATGTCGAACTAAATAGAGATGCTAAAAGATATTTTGTGTGTCAAACGGAGAGTGCGGCAAAGAAGAGTCCTTCAACAGCCACAAAAACATAATGACGATTGTGTCTCCGTTCTTGTTCCCTTTGCTCTGTAGGTACCTCCAGCGTTGCCTCCAAGTATGAAGAACTCGAGTGTCTTTATGCGGCCGTCGGGAAAGTTATTTACGAAGGACTTACTAATTATGAGAAAGCAACGAATGCCAACCCTTCTCAACTTTTTGGTAAGTTTCCAGCGTTGGACTCCTCTCACCACAGAAGCTTTGCTCTTTCTACTTTGTTGTATTTCTGCACAAGTTCTGTAGAGCTTTCATCGGCACAGTAGATATCAGTGGCATCTCTGCACAGCAGGGCAAGGAAACACATCGATCACAGTCTCCTTTATGCTATAAACTAATTTATTGTACAATTATTTACATTAGAAGCTAAGCATATTGTAAAAACTGCTTCTCCTCCCTCCGGCAGCTACATTGTGAGCAACAGAACACGTTGTTATCAGCACTAGTCCACACCTGCATTCCAGAGTGACGTATGACGTACGACGCACTGTCCATTGCTCTCTGCATTATGATTTATGACCTCCCTAGGAATGCTGATTCTCTTCATGGTTCAGTTAACTCTTTCCACACAGGAATACTCTCGGCACATAGCATTGCATTTTTAAACATACAAACACACTTCGAAATCTACATTACGCATTTTGAAAACACATCAACAGTAGAGAGCCACTATCATGGCTATGTGAAGAAAAGCAGCAAATAGTAGTTATTATCATGCTGTAGAAAGGTATTCTGCGGTGTGAGAGACAAATAGTGACAGCTCCCTTCATGACAAATCCCAGGGTTGCCGATCATGCCACACACAATAATAATAATAATAATAATAATAATAATAATAATAACAACAACAACAACTTTATTTATACCCCGCCACCATCTCCCCAAGGGGACTCGGAGCGGCTTACATGAGGCCGAGCCCAACAACATATCAATAAAAACAACAAGCAATAAGCAAATAAAACAATACAATTAATATAACTCACATATAGACAATAACACGCAGAGATTTAAAAACCTATGGCCGGGCCAGATGTAATAGTTAAAATTTTAAAAATATACGCTGGGCATGAACAGAGGTAGGATGTATTTCGTAGGAGGGTTTTAAAAGAAATATAGGGAGAGCAACCCAACGGGTAATGAACTAGAAGCAAGAATGCACTCAGAAACTTGAATACATGAGTTCCAAGAACATAGGACCAAAAACTGAGAATTGTTCACCTGAATACGTTGCTCTCGCAAAGGATTATACCAGCAGGAACCACTTTAAAAGGCCTCAGTACCTCCCATAACATCGTTTCTCATGCACCTGTTCTTCCTCTCCTTCTCTCTAAGCCTCTGGGAAAAGCGAGTCTGTCTTTGTTGCATGCTCTGTCTATCTATATTGGGCACGGGCCAACTTGGGCCCTCCAGGTGTTTTGGACTTCAACTCCCACAATTCCTAACAGCCTGCCAGCTGTTAGGAATTGTGGGAGTTGAAGTCCAAAACACCTGGAGGGCCCAAGTTGGCCCATGGCCTAGTCTAGGTCAAGGTGCTTGGAATTGCAGAGACAGAGCATGCTGAGGCTTAAAGATAAGGGGAGGTTTAAAGATAAGGTGAGGAAAAGCAAGTGCATTATAAATGATGTTATGGGAGGGATTGAGGCCTTTTAAAGTGGTTCCTGTTGGTACCATTCTTTGTGAGAACAATGTATTCAGCTCTCGGTTTTTGGAACAGCCAGTAGGCTGTTAGGAATTGTGAGAGTTAAAGTCCAAAACACCTGGAGGGCCCAAGTTGGCCCATTCCTGGTCTAGGTCAAGGCGCTTGGAATTGCAGAGTGTGCAGAGGCTTAAAGATAAGAGGAAGTTTAAAGATAAGGCGAGGAAAAGCAAGTGCATTATAAATGATGTTATGGGAGGGATTGAGGCCTTTTAAAGTGGTTCCTGTTGGTACCATTCTTTGTGAGAACAATGTATTCAGCTCTCGGTTTTTGGAACAGCTGGTAGGCTGCAGGAATTGTGGGAGTTAAAGTCCAATACACCTGGAGGGCCCAAATTGGCCCATGCCTGGTCTAGGTAAAGGCGTTTGGAATTGCAGAGACAGAGCATGCAGAGGCTTAAAGATAAGGGGAGGTTTAAAGATAAGGCGAGGAAAAGCAAGTGCATTATAAATGATGTTATGGGAGGGATTGAGGCCTCTCGGTTTTTGGGACAGCTGGTAGGCTGTAGTAATTGTGGGAGTTAAAGTCCAAAACACCTGGAGGGCCCAAGTTGGTCCATGCCTGGTCTAGGTCAAGGTGCTTGGAATTGCAGAGACAGAGCATGCAGAGGCTTAAAGACAAGGTGAGGAAAAGCAGGTGCATTATAAATGATGTTATGGGAGGGATGGAGGCCTTTTAAAGTGGTTCCTGTTGGTACCATTCTTTGTGAGAACAACGTATTCAGGTGAAAAGCTCTCGGTTTTTGGAACAGCTGGTAGGCTGTTAGGAATTGTGGGAGTTAAAGTCCAAAACACCTGGAGGGCCCAAAGTTGGCCCATGCCTGATTTAGACAAACGTTCGTCTCCCACCGATCTGTGTTTTCTTATTTTGGGACTGAAGAGCCAGGCTCTCTTTAGCTCTTGCTGTTCTGCCGGAGGAGGTTGCGCTCGCTGAAACGATTAAACAGTTTGGCAAGTTGGTCCCGCGTCAGGCTCGCTCGCCACGGAATTGCTTCTGTCAATAAAGCGGTCTTGAAATTGCAGCGTCTCCGAGAGGCGTCCGCTTGAAATGGCAAATGTCCTTCAGCATCCCGGCCTGTGATCTGTGCAGACAGGTGTAATTTCACTTTGGGAATTGGCTATTTGTCAGGTGTCAGGCGGTGACGGAGGGCGCACGAACCAAGAAAGATCCTTCTTATCCTTTGTCCAGAACGCTCCAAGGTTGTCGTTTGTTTATTCCCCTCGGAGCGAGGACGCAATGTCGCCAAAGACCCCGAGCGCCAAATCCACAAAGAACACAATTTCAACCTCTTAGAGAGATGCAAAACGACGAGCATCGAGCTTTATAAAGATGGCAATGAGAGCAAGAGTCCCGGAATAAAGTCAGTTGAGTCAGTTATGTATACTCCCTGAGCTACCCAAAGCGGGATGCCAAATCACTTGCGGGGGTCTTTTGGGGCACGGGAGAGTTCTGGCTATTTAGGAACAGCTTTGAAGGAGGAGGAGGAGGAGGAGGAGGAGGAGGAGGAGGAGGATGAAGAAGGAGGAGGAAGAAGAAGGAGGAGGAGGAGGAGAAGGGAGGAGGAAGAAGGAGGAGGAGGAGAAGAGGAGAAGAAGGAGAGGAGGAAGAGGAGGAGGGAGAGGAGGAAGAGGAAGAAGAAGGAGAGGAGGAAGAAGAAGGAGGAGAGGAAGAGGAAGAAGGAGGAGGAGAGGAAGAAGAAGAAAAAGAGGAGGAGGAAGAATGAGGAGGAGGAGGAGGAAGAAGGAGGAATAGGAGGAGGAGGAAGAGGAGGAAAAAGAGGAAGAAGAAAGAGGAGGAGGAGGAGGAGGAAGAGCAGGAAGAAGGAGGAGGAGGAAGGAGGAGGAATAGGAGGAGGAAGAAGAGGAGGAGGAGAAGGGAGGAAGAAGGAGGGAAGGAGGAGGAAGAAGAAGAAAAAGAGGAGGAGGAAGAATGAGGAGGAGGAGGAGGAAGAAGGAGGAATAGGAGGAGGAGGAAGAGGAGGAAAAAGAGGAAGAAGAAAGAGGAGGAGGAGGAGGAGGAAGAGCAGGAAGAAGGAAGAGGAGGAAGAAGGAGGAGGAGGAGGAAGAAGAAAAGGAGGAAGGAGGAGGAGGAGGAAGAAGAAGGAGCCCTGCTCTGCTTGGCCTGGTTGATCAACAGGACTTGCTTTGTAGATTGCAATCTGTTGAAGGGGGAATTGTCCACAGGCGTTGCTTTTCGTATGTCCCTCATTGCTGAAGCCCCCCCCCCCTTTATTCTTCATCTGCACAATCACACAAGGCTCAGGAGCCCTTTTAATAAATAATCATCATCATCATCATCATCATCATCATCTTTATTTATACCCTGCCACCATCTCCTCCGACGGGGACTCGGAGCGGCTTCCCAAACAACAAATTACAATACAATAAGATACTAATTGCAATAAAATAAACAACACAACAATGAAGTAGGAAGAGGAACGGGGAGGAGCAGTTGGGATCAGGCCTTGTCCTCTGGTGGGAAAATGGGAAGAAGCGCACGAGGAGGACGGTGGCTTCCTGCAGTGAGGAAGGACGGAGAGATGCCTCCTGGCCTCAACGCCATTGTCCGTCCCCAGCCGTGAAGCAAGAGGGTCGAGCTTTTCTTGCTGCAGGAAAAGGAAGGCATTGTGAGCTTCTTTGTTTTTGTGGGCCACCTCTCATGCACGCCTTCGTTTTGCTTCGTCACAGGTACCTTGATGATTCTGAAGTCGGCCTGCAGCAACAACCCCAGCTACATCGACAGGCTGATTTCGGTCTTCATGAGGTCCCTCCAGAAGATGGTGCGGGAACACCTGAACCAGCAGACCCAAGCAGGCACTCCCGAAGCAAACACAGGTAACGCCCACCTGCTGCCATGTTTCCAAGGTGGAATGGCCTAGTGTGCTGTTGTGTGGTTTCCAGGCTGTATTGCCAATGGGTTCTAGCAGCATTTTCTCCTGATGTTTCGCCTACATCTGTGGCATCTTCAGAAATTCTATTGAAGGTGAGGCAAGTGGAGTGTATCTATCTATTCCTGTGGAATAATGTCCAGGGTGGGAGAAAGAACCAAGTGTGAAGTGTGCCATTAGCATGTGTTCGAGTGGGATCCACCCACTAGCACGTGAATAACTGAGAAGATGGCATAGTCAATAGTGAGGGCACCTGCCCGGAAGTAGCCTGTGTCAGAGTAAAATTTGGGGGTCTATGTGCAGCGGAAGAGGTTGCTAGATCAAACAGACACAGGACTCCAAAAACCAGGACTCTGCAGTCTTCCAGTTTCAAAAATAACACAAAGTTTACTAAGTACATCTACACACGTCCATTCTAAGCGGGCAAAAATCAGGAACTACAAAGCACAGCACAGTTTCAGAACATCTGCTTATCTCACTTCTCTGGCCGGATCCTCCCTATTTTTTCCCAGCCAGAGAACCGTTATCTCACTTCTGTCAAGGTTACTTTTTCTCTGCCTCTTTGTCTCTCACAGTATTTCTCATGCACAATTGAACATAACAGAATCCATCTTGAATTACATCTTAACCCATTCTTAATTATATAGAAACACGTTGAAAAAACATACACGCATACCTTCAGTAATCCTGACAGCCTGGCCTTGGTTCCCTTGGAGTGTTTATTGCCTGGAGGCACCCTCTGCTCGGGAGGGAGGTGTTCACTGCTCTTTGATTGTTTACTGTCTGGACTTCCCCTGTTTCCGAGTGGGGTGCTTTATTTACTGTCTTGATTCTGGTGTTTTTGTCATGACCACTCATGTCCTAAAACGATCAGCTCCCCGGTCCTGGCGTAGAGCACATGGCCGATGGCCGAAAGGTAGGACAGGATGCTGCAAGGCCATAAATCAGTGGTTCTCAACATTTCTAACACCGAGACCCCTAAATATGGTTCCTCATGTTGTGGTGACCCCCAACCATGTTGCGGTGACCCCCAACCTCGCGTGCCTTGGATGGCAAGAGCACGAGGCAAGCGAGGCAGGATTTGCATGAGGCCAGGCCTCATGCGGAGGATCCTTCGCTGGATGACTAGAGTGTGAGGGGGGCTTTGAACGAGGCCAAGCCTTGTGTGAAGGAGCCCTCACCTGGCCCACGCCCTTGGGGCAGGGCCAATGGAGGTAGCCTCGCGACCCATCCAAAATGGCCAGGCGACCCCCCTGGGGGTTGCGACCCCCAGGTTGAGAACCACTGCCATAAATGGACCTGAGGTGTCAAAAGGTGGGCTCTGGTATGTGGGAAAGGGCAGCCCCAGAGGTTTAGGTTGATTGATGACACTGTAGCTAAGGCCCTATATAGACAGCCAAGAGTTCGAGGCTCTTGTATTCCCAATAATAAAGATGTATAGTACTTTCAGCCCCTCCTGTGCATCTTGCCGTAGTCTTTCAAGAGAAGACTAAGCCCATAGCCCCACAGCTGGAGCATGGAACCCTTCCAGTTTTTAAATGCTGGTAACCAGATGTTGTTCATTTTCATGGTCTCCTCCCTTCTGTTGAAATTGTCCACCTCCTTCTTGTGGATTCCAGTGGCTTCTCTGTGTAGCCCAATGGGTCTCAACCTGTGGGTCCCCAGGTGTTTTGGCCTACAACTCCCAGCAATCCCAGCCAGTTGACCAGCTATTAGGATTTCTGGGAGCTGAAGGCCAAAAACATCTGGGGACCCCAGGTTGAGAACCACTGGTATAGCCTGACATAGTGGTTGTGAGAGTGGTCCAGCATTTCTGTGTTCTCAACCACCTCAACTGGGCTCTGCATGCCAATGGAGACTCCACCTCAGACATCAGAAGAGCGGCAAGACCGAGAACAAGCCAGGAGTGTCAAGACAAAGACCCAGAGGGAAAGGGTTCTTGCCAGACATCAAAGGAACCACTGACTGCAGAGGGAAGTTGTGTGAGGAAACACAACCTACAAACTATTCTGAACCCCAACTGATCTGGACCAAACTTGGCATGCATACACAACATGGCCAACTTTGAATACTGGTTGGGTTTGACATGGTGGTTGTGAGAGTGACCCAGCATTTCTGTGTTCTCCAATAATCTGCTGTGTCCAGGTTGATTCCTCAAGTGCTCTGCTATGGCTGACTTCTCTGGTTGAAGTCATCTGCAGTGTCTTTCATGTTCCTTGATTCGTGTGTTGGGCAATGCTTCTGCCTTTGGTGGTCCCTATGGAGATTTCTCGTCCACAGCTGCATGGTAGACGGTAGAGGTGTCACGATGCCAGGGCTCTGCCAATATTCAGGCAGAGATGAACCAAACAAAAACCCAGTTTGTATCAAACAATGTAATTAAAATAGCACTTACTTTCTGGCTGTTTTAATAGTCCAAAACATAAAGATAGCACTCAGCGACAGAATATAAAACAAAACTAACAGCAAACACTGTTGCAGGTTCAAGATAACTCCGTAATCAAAATTTACCTATAATCAGAAATCAAAAAATATTAAATGACTGGAAAAGAGATATAATGAGATTCATCTGGCAGAAAAAAAACCAAGAATAAATTACAAAAACATGGTAGAAGGGAAAAACAAAGGAGGCCTAGCAACCCCGGACATTACATTTATTTATTATTTATTTATTTGATGCACTTATTGACCGCCGCTCTCAGCCCTAGGGCGACTCGCGGCGGTGAACAACATATAAAAACCGTTTGTGTTGCTGACTGGTCTGGGTCTTGACAAACAGTTTACAAAAAGCAAGAACCGGAGAAATCACACAACAATAATACACAATACTGAAAGTTACACTAACTAATCCGCTTCGTCATATCATAAAATCATACCCAAAATCGTAGTCCATGTTCCGTTCCAGATGTCAATTGCCAGTTGCCGTAGTATTTATTTGAATGCCTTCTCGAATAGCCAGGTCTTTAGGCTCCTGCGGAAGGATAGAAGGGAGGGCGCCTGTCTGATGTCAGCAGGGAGGTCGTTCCACAGCCGGGGGGCCACCACCGAGAAGGCCCTTTCTCTCGTCCCCGCCAGGCGTGCCTGTGAAGCAGGCGGGATCGAGAGAAGGGCCTCCCCAGATGATCTCAAGGTCCTCGTGGGCTCATAGGCCAAGATGCGGTCCGAAAGGTATTTTGGGCCGGAACCGTTTAGGGCTTTGTAGGATAACACCAGCACCTTAAATTGGGCCCGGTAGCAGATCGGCAGCCAGTGGAGCTGGGACAACAAGGGCGTTGTGTGCTCCCTGCGTCCCGCTCCCGTTAGTAACATGGCTGCCGTGCGCTGGACTAGCTGAAGCTTCCGGGCCGTCTTCAAGGGCAGCCCCACGTAGAGAGCGTTGCAGTAGTCAAGGCGGGATGTGACCAGAGCATGTACCACCGTGGCCAAGTCAGACTTCCCAAGGTACGGGCGCAGCTGGCGCACGAGCCTAAGCTGTGCGAATGCTCCCCTGGTCACCGCTGAAACCTGGGGCTCCAGGCTCAACGATGAATCCAGGATCACACCCAAGCTGCGAACCTGCGCCTTCAAGGGGAGTGCGACCCCATCCAGCACAGGCTGTAACCCTATACCCTGTTCGGCCTTGCAACTGACCAGGAGTACCTCTGTCTTGTCTGGATTTAATTTCAGTTTGTTCGCCCTCATCCAGACCTTTACAGCGGCCAGACACCGGTTCATTACATCATATCACGATGCCTGCACGCTGATCTGGATAAGGGATTGGACTAAACTAGAGAAGGAGAAAATTCTAAACATAGAGGGAGGAGGATTAAGACTAGGATGGCACGCATATGTTGGATACGACCAGGCGAGAAAGGAAAAAAACTTCGGAGACCACTTCATCTGTTCCTCTCTAATTAAAGTATGGAATAGACACAAAAATAAATTCTACGAAAAGATACCAACTTGGCTATCGCCACTAGAAGCATCACAGGGAAGAATAACAGGATGGTACGAATGGCCCAAATATAAAGATATAATAAGAAAGGAAGGAGGAGAATTCAAGATGAAAACTCAAGAGGAACTAAAGAGCATAAACTCCAGAATCTCCTGGTATCAATATGAACAAATTAAAGCACATTTCAAGAAAGACAAAGAAAAAGGATTTGAGGAAGGAAAAAACTTTTGGGACAAAATAATGCAAACAGAAAATAAACTAATTTCTAAAATATACAAGAAACTCATAGAAGAAGAAAATAAGAAAGAAGAAGGGAAAAACTATATGAAAAAATGGAGGGATAACCTGGGAAGAGAAATAAGGAAAGAAGAATGGGAGGAAGTATGGAATAGGAAGTTAAAATACTCAAAAGCAATGGAACTCAAAGGAAATTGGATTAAGATGGCCCATAAGTGGTATATCACACCGCACAGATTAGGAAAATTCAACAAAAACACAAATACAAAATGTTGGAAATGTGGAGAACAAGAAGGGACGTTTTACCACATATGGTGGACCTGTCCAAAAGCAACGTCATACTGGAAGAAAATACATAAAACGCTACAAAACATATTAGAGATAAATATTCCCCAGAAACCAGAAACCTTCCTATTAGGAATACACAACATAAAAATGGAAAAAAAACAAAGACAAAATTTTATTTCTCTTAACAACAGCTGCCAGGATAACGTATGCGAAACATTGGAAAAAGAAAGATCCTCCTGAAGAAGAAGAATAGCTAACCAAAATATTAGACATAAGAAACATGGATAAGCTGACATATATACTATCAAAGAAGAAGGGCACCCCGATGGCGGAAATAGATTGGAAGCAGGTAACAACATACCTAACAAAAGGAAAGAATATGAGAATAATTATCTAAAGGGTCATGACTGAGAACATAGAAATAGGGGAGAGCAAGACATAAATGAAGGAGAAAGAAGACAGAAGAAGGAAAAGGGTAAAAATCATCCAGAAGATACCAGGAAGTCAAACATAACACAACTACAACAACCACACACCCCCCCACCCCCCACCATACTTTTCAAATTTCACATAATAAGAAACCAGCGCTCCCTTAACGCAACGGGAACCTGGAGAACAGGACAAACTGGATATCTCTACGCTAGGCCTGTTTGATCAAGAAAAAATTTGTTTCTAAAATCGATTTGTAATTGGGGTGTTTTTTTGTTTCGATATTTAAAATAATTACAAAACTTTCCCCAAAAAAGTTTTGGTATTTAAGAAATTTTGTAAATATTAACGAATTTTTAGAATATTTTTGGTATTTCTTAAGAATAATATTAAAATAATATTAAAAAATATTTTAAAATGGAAAATTAACCAAAAAATGGCCCAAATGTGGACCAAACACAGGCAGGAGACAGCAAATGAGAGCACACACCAACAGAAGAGTCTTTTCTTTTTTAGAATATTTTTTAAGAATAATATTAAAATAATATTAAAAAATAATATTCAAATAATATTAAAAAATATTTTAAAATGGAAAATTAACCAAAAAATGGCCCAAATGTGGACCAAACACAGGCAGGAGACAGCAAATGAGAGCACACACCAACAGAAGAGTCTTTTCTTTTTTAGAATATTTTTTAAGAATAATATTAAAATAAAATAATTAAAAATAATATTAAAAAATAATATTAAAAAATATTTAAAAATGGAAATTAACCAAAAAATGGCCCAAATGTGGACCAAACACAGGCAGGAGACAGCAAATGAGAGCACACACCAACAGAAGAGTCTTTTCTTTTTTAGAATATTTTTTAAGAATAATATTAAAATAATATTAAAATAATATTAAAAATAATATTAAAAATAATATTAAAAAATATTTTAAAATGGAAAATTAACCAAAAAATGGCCCAAATGTGGACCAAACACAGGCAGGATACAGCAAATGAAGCAAGCAGCACTCACAGCAGCAAGGAATGAATCCAATCCCAGTTGCTAGCAGCCAAGCCAACCCAATGCAAACTCCCTCGCCCTCTGCAGCAAGCTACGGGCCGCGCGGAGCCGCTTTGAAAGGGCTCGCCGGCCAATCAAAAACAAACAGCCACGGACCCATGGTGCACTGCTTGGGAGCGCCAGATTGGCTCCCAGGCACCAGCAGCCTGCACCCCAATAACGAAATGGGCGGAAGCTCGTAAAATCTATGGGGTTGCCGCCTCGTTATTTTTAAACCCTTCCGGGTTTGAAAAAGTGCTTCAATATCGCTTCGGAAATGCCAAAAATAACGAATTAATAACGAATTAACGAATTAACGAACGAAACCGCACAGGCCTACTCTACGCTCTCTATCCTTTCAGCCCCTCTCTTCCCCCTCTTTTCCCCCTCTTCTTTTTCCCCTCAGCTTAGTGTGAAACTTTTACAAGTTTTAAAAGTTTCTAACACTATCTCTATCAAGCTCTGTCTTTGTTTTTAAGAAAATAAATAAAGATTATATTTAATTTAAAAGATAACTCCGTAATCAAAAGGTCCAGTCCAGTGGTCAAACGCCAAGAGTTCAGTAAACAAAGTCTAGGGATCAAGAGTCTATTCTGTAATCAAAAGCCAGTCCAAGATTCAAGGTTCCAGGATTCCAAAAGTTCAGGAGACAGGTCAGAACACCAAAAATCCACAAACCTGGGGGGAAACCAGCAGCGTCCACCACCAAGATGACACAAATACTTTCCCCCCCCCCCCAAAAGATCAGTCCCAAGGTTAGCTCCTTATATCCAGAAACACCCAGCTGCAGCCTATCTCTTGCATCCCTCCACCCTTAATTGCTTTCACCCATGAACTCTTACTTACAGATTACTCAACCCTTTAGAACTAAGACTTAGATTAACCCTTCCATCACCAAGCACCATCAACTGCAGAACATAATACATGACAATATATTATTTATCGTGTCAAGGGCAACCAGACCATTGCATTACATTTCTAACTGAACAAAACAAACAAACAGATTAAAAAAACACCACAAAGTTTGCAAGCTTGGTAGTTGATGAAATGTCCTTTGACCAGTCCCTGGCCCCTTGGAGTGCCTCTGGTGTTGCCGCAAGAAGGTCCTCCCTTGTGCATCATGTGGAAGAAGGGCTCAGGGTGCATTGCAGCAGGTGGTCAGTGGTTTGCTCTTCTCCACACACGCATGTCGAGGATTCTACTTTGTGGCCCCATTTCTTGAGGTTGGCTCTGCATCTTGTGGTGCCAGAGCGCAGTCTGATCAGCGCATTCCAAGTTGCCCCGTCTTCTGTGTGCCCAGGGGGGAGTCTCTCATCTGGTATCAGTCATTGATTGAGCTTCTGAGTTTGAGCCTGCCAATTTTGGACTCTCGCTTGCTGAGGTGTTTCAGCGAGTGTCTCTGTAGATCTTAGAAAACTATTTCTTGATTCAAGTTGTTGACGTGCTGGCTGATACCCAAACAGGGGATGAGCTGGAGATGTCTCTGCCTTGGTCCTTTCACTATTGGCTGCTCCTTCCCGGCGGATGTCAGGTGGTGTGATACCGGCTAAGCAGTGTAGTTTCTCCAGTGGTGTCAGGCGCGGACACCCCGTGATAATGCGGCATGTCTCATGAAGAGCCACATCCACTGTTTGAGCGTGGTGAGATGTGTTCCACACTGGGCATGCATACTCAGCAGCAGAGTAGCATAGCGCAAGGGCAGATGTCTTCACTGTGTCTGGTTGTGATCCCCAGGTTGTGCCAGTCAGCTTTCATATGATGTTGTTTCTAGCGCCCACTTTTTGCTTGATGTTCAGGCAGTGCTTCTTGTAGGTCAGAGCACGGTCCAGAGTGACTCCCAGGTATTTGGGTGTGCTGCAATGCTCCAGTGGGATTCCTTCCTTCCCAGGTAATAATCCTCAGAGCTTGGGATGCTTGTCTGTTCGTGAGATGAAAGGCGCATGTCTGTGTTTTAGATGGATTAGGGATCAGCTGGTTTTCCCTGTAATAGGTAGTAAGAGCACCTAGAGCTTTGGAGAGCTTCTGTTCTACCATCTCAAAGCTCCCTGCTTGAGCGGTGATGGCATGATCATCAGCATAGATGAAGCTCTCTGTCCCTTGCGGCAGTGGCAGTGGCTGTTGAACATGGGTGGAGCAAGCACGCTCCCCTGAGGCAGGCCGTTCTTCTGTTTCCGCCATCTGCTTCTCCGGCCCTGGAACTCAACAAGGAAGCTCCTGTTTTGTAGCAGTTTTGTTTTGTAGCATGACAAGAGGGGAGGGGATCCCTCCTGTCCTTTGCTGATTGGAGCATTTGTTGAATCTTCCCGGTAGGTCTATGAATAGTTTGTATGTTATGTTTCTTCATCATCTTCCTAATGTGGTCAGTGGTTCCCTTGATGTCTGGCAGGAACACTTTCCCTCTGGGTGGATCTTCATCTTGACTCTCGTGGCTTCTTCTCGGTGGTCTTGCAGCTCTTCTGATGCCTGTCATGGAATACATGCACATTGGCCTGGAGAACCCAGTTTAGGGGGTTCGGGTCACCTTGGAGGAGGTGGGCTTTGCAGATCCTGTTTGCACGGTCTGCCAGGGCTTTAATTCTCCTCCTTGTGTGGTCCTGGACACAATTTCCCAGCATTTATTCAACTTGTTTGT